TCTAGTGTGTAGTGTGTAGTGTGTAGTGTGGTGTGGTGTGCTGTGCTGCGCTGTACTGACGCGCAGCGTGGCGGCGAGGCAGCCGGCGCGGCGGCGGGCGGCGCCGAGCACGTACAGCGCGGCGCGGTGCAGTGTGGGGCGGGGGCGCGCGTGTGTAGTGTGTAGTGTGTAGTGTGGTGTGGTGTGCTGTGCTGCGCTGTACTGACGCGCAGCGTGGCGGCGAGGCAGCCGGCGCGGCGGCGGGCGGCGCCGAGCACGTACAGCGCGGCGCGGTGCAGTGTGGGGCGGGGGCGCGCGTGTGTAGTGTGTAGTGTGTAGTGTGTAGTGTGGTGTGGTGTGCTGTGCTGCGCTGTACTGACGCGCAGCGTGGCGGCGAGGCAGCCGGCGCGGCGGCGGGCGGCGCCGAGCACGTACAGCGCGGCGCGGTGCAGTGTGGGGCGGGGGCGCGCGTGTGTAGTGTGTAGTGTGTAGTGTGTAGTGTGGTGTGGTGTGCTGTGCTGCGCTGTACTGACGCGCAGCGTGGCGGCGAGGCAGCCGGCGCGGCGGCGGGCGGCGCCGAGCACGTACAGCGCGGCGCGGTGCAGTGTGGGGCGGGGGCGCGCGTGTGTAGTGTGTAGTGTGTAGTGTGTAGTGTGGTGTGGTGTGCTGTGCTGCGCTGTACTGACGCGCAGCGTGGCGGCGAGGCAGCCGGCGCGGCGGCGGGCGGCGCCGAGCACGTACAGCGCGGCGCGGTGCAGTGTGGGGCGGGGGCGCGCGTGTGTCGTGTGTAGTGTGTAGTGTGGTGTGGTGTGCTGTGCTGCGCTGTACTGACGCGCAGCGTGGCGGCGAGGCAGCCGGCGCGGCGGCGGGCGGCGCCGAGCACGTACAGCGCGGCGCGGTGCAGTGTGGGGCGGGGGCGCGCGTGTGTAGTGTGTAGTGTGTAGTGTGTAGTGTGGTGTGGTGTGCTGTGCTGCGCTGTACTGACGCGCAGCGTGGCGGCGAGGCAGCCGGCGCGGCGGCGGGCGGCGCCGAGCACGTACAGCGCGGCGCGGTGCAGTGTGGGGCGGGGGCGCGCGTGTGTAGTGTGTAGTGTGTAGTGTGGTGTGGTGTGCTGTGCTGCGCTGTACTGACGCGCAGCGTGGCGGCGAGGCAGCCGGCGCGGCGGCGGGCGGCGCCGAGCACGTACAGCGCGGCGCGGTGCAGCACGAGGCGGCGCGCGCCGGGCCGCACGCACTCGTGCCACGCGCTGCGCTTCTCGCAGCGGATGGCCGGCTGGTGCTCCTGCGCACGTTCGCATACCAATTATAGTTATGAGGTAATTTATTTAAGTACAACGAAGTATGACATTGATAGCTGAGTGGGGAGAAAGGCAAGAGAGGCTATGATATCCCAAAGCATGAACGTTGTCCTCACACCTGCAGCTGTGGGGTGCATTCGTTTTGGCTCCCAATACGATAGAGATTGAGAGTCTAAATGTTGCGTCATCCAATAATTTTCCGATATAAGACGAAGGAAATGTGTGTAACCATAAGCCAGATTCCCATTTGGACACCGCAAATAGACAGGCGCTCTCAACGGTGTTCCAGGATAAGTATAGTAACGAAGTTCTGTGCAGGTCATTAATCGGCTTATCCTATTGTCTCTGGATTTTGGGATTTCTGGACAAAGATACGTTGGGACAAGCCAGAAACCAAGCTTTTCTAGCCACGGGCAGGTTAGTTACCTTGAAATCACCGAAAACAGGTATTAGTATTTTTTTCACGATTTAACGGAGGTTTGGCGGATTCTCAGGTCCCCATGCCTGATAAACAGAGGCCTGAGTCCATATACGTTCTTCGAAGGCGATATTAAACAGGGAGCTCAGAATAGACTTTATTTTCTCATCACATTTTGCGGTGAGGTCTGGATATTTCCAAAAGGGTATACTACGGAGAACATAAGTAAAGTTGAGTACAAAAAAGTAGTAATAATGTTATACGTGATGTGGCTATTTATAACTAGATTTTGTAAGTTTCCAGCAAGCACTTTTTTCTAATAGTAAAGGCCTCTGTTTCCATACATTGATGTTCAGAAGAATTTAATTCCCTTATTCCACCTTCCTCTTTCCCTATATCGGACTACGAGGATAAGCCACCGACTGCATCTATGTAGGGGTAGACCGCCTGCGCTCGCGTACAACTAAATTTGCCAACTCTTACGTGAATCGTACCGTAACAATATGGCACGTTCATAACCCTGACGTTTCCTTCATCCTATAACCTCGGATCACGCAAACACAACTGATTTACGGTTGAAACACGAATGGGACAGAGGTACTCAAGCAATCGACTTTTGTACAAAATCTCCCTCTGGTATTACCTAGTCTGGAATATATATAGTAGATTGATATCATACCTTCCTGAGGTGATAATCCATTATATACTTGGGGCCGTACCAAGAGCATAGAAAGCACCGTAACATCATTTCCATTCCGATTCGCTCCAGGTAGTCCTGTGAATTATGGAAGTGCTGGGGATAAATAAGAGACCATTGGCTGTGTGATCCCGGCATAGAGTTCCTTCCTTCCCGTGGGTATCGTAAAAAGCGAGTTAGGGAGGGCGAGGTATGGGCAGCAGCGTCTTTCTTAAACCAACTATCTCTAAATCCTGACTGAGATTGCCAATCCGTTCACCCCTTAGTCGCTTCTTACGATATTCACGGGAAAGGAAAGGATGGCATTCTATGCAGGGATTACACGGCGAATCGGCCATCAACTGGAACAAACAAGTATGTAGATGGTACTTACCCCATCTTGGCTGATGATTTCGAGTGCATCTTCGACCATCTCAGGAATAGTAACAGTGGCCCCTATTTCTTGACTACCGTATTTAGCCAGTGACAGATCGGCACTGTTCAGTTCTGAAAGTTAAACCTTTCTGAATATCTTTACAAATATTATAAACTAGTGATCCGACTCAGCTTCGCACGAGTTAACAGAATTTTCTAAAATCAGGGAATTGGACTGATCGGTTATTTTACAGTATTTTATATATGATTCTTTAGATTGGTATAACTTTTTTTATTTAGGAACCGATTGGAATAAAACAAACACTAAATGTTAAGTGGAGCAAACCGCAAATTATTAGTGAAACCGCGTTCAAATCGGTTAACCCGTTTCTAAGATTAACGTGCACAAACATAAAGACGTATAGACAAACAAACATACAGGCAAATTGACAAAAATTTTGAAAAACATTGTTTTGGATTCTATTGCGTTCATAAAGTCTCTCTATAATAGTTTTTCTTATATAATCTTCCATGTACAGACCAGTTACAATTTCCTTATATGCATTGATGTTAATGAGACTTTATTTATTTTATTAATTTATTCCACAGGTGCAACATTGTGAATTACACTATAGATTTTATAACAGAATACAGTTATACATGGACTCTGGCAGGATACTGCTAGTTTTTAAAATAAACGATAGGAGTGAGTAACTTGTAGCAAAATCTATATACTGTACAGTATCTATATATTGTAACAATATCTATATACTGTACAGTATCTATATATTGTAGCAATAAGTATATTGTGTACAGTATCTGTATATTGCACAGTATCTATATATTTTAGCAATAACTATTTATTGTACAGTATCTATATATTGTAGCAACATCTATATAGTGTTCAGTATCTATATATCTATATCTAAAATGTCCTACATGAATAAATGATTTTTGAATTTTGAATTTGAATTTTGAATTTTGCACAGTATCTGTATATTGTAGCAATATCTGTATATTGTACAGTAGTTGTATATTGTTCAGTATCTATATATTGTACCGTATCTAAATATTGCACAGTTTTTAAATATTGCACAGTATCTATATATTGTATGGAACAATCTATATATATATATATATATATATATATATATATATATATATATATTTAAATCGCAGACGACTTCTTGCGTCTTTCCACTTCCGATACTTATTGCATCCCCCACTTTCAGTAAAATTACAATTGTTTTGAAAGTGAATATTATTACTTTATTTCGTGCTAAAATCAGTACCCATAATTATATTTCTTTTAAATAACAGATATCAATATTCAATTTTCAATATTTCTAGCCGACGTTCCGGAGTCCGTTCATAGCGGGAATCATATGGCACATTTGTATATTCCGTATATAGTTTGTATGTCATGCAAACTTCATGCGTCCATTCGTCTCGCAGATCATGCAGCACTCAGTATATTCGTATACTTATAATATTTTGTGTAAATTTAAATGCGTCCTTTTAAGACAGACACTATATGGCGCACCGTATATTTCATATGTTATGTATTCTATTTAACTAGCTTTATGCGTCTCTTTATAATGGAAATCATACGATATTTTACGTACTTCCATATACTTTTTATATTTACATACATGCAAGGTGTACATTAATTAAAAGACTTTTTTTCTAAAAACATATTCTTGTATTATTTAGAAAATTAGTACAGATATCTATTAAATAAAATTATTGATAACAAAGTAAATAAGATTTCTCATAATAACATTAAACAAAAGTATTTCTTTATTTAAGTCGTATTCTTTTATAAATTGTCTAAGAAAATCAGTACTAAACTCTGTTAAATGAATGTAATGAATACAAATAAAATTTCTTACAGTAACATTAAGCATCAACATTTTTAAATCGAAGCACTTTATTATTTTATTTACCTAACAAAATCGGCACAATTCTAAACCTATGAAATAAAATAATTATTCAGAACAAAGCAAATAAACACTTTTAATTACTTAAAAGAATTTATAATTACAATCAAATATTTGTTTTATCTTTGTAAGAAAATCAGTACAATCTGTAAACTTATAAAAAAATGGTATAAAAACAAACAAGACCTCTTATAATAACATTAACTAACAAATTTTTTAACAAAAATCACATTATTGTTAAATCTATAGTAAAATAACTAACGTCAGCAACATTAATAAATCTGTAAGCTTAATATAAATAATATTACTTAGATTGAACACTTACACGCACATCTTAATTATATTAATATATGTATATTTTAAATAAAGATTCATATTAAAAGATAAGCATGTTTTTGGAGTAAGTTTGCTTCAAATAAACCAATGTAATGATAATTATCCTATTTTTTAGAATAAATATTTTGAATAAAAACTTTAATTTTGAGCCAGTCTTTATTTTGTAACAGTTCTGGGTATTGTCCTTTTAAATTTTCGCATTCTAATTTTCTGGGAGGTTTTTTATTTTGTATATGGCTCTTGAAAAATTTGGTAACAACTTTCTTTTGTTCCATAGACCAGGGTACTAAGTTTCTCTATTTCCCTTTTTCAATTCTTTTATCTGTTATTGTCATCACCTGGTGATTAGGTTCAGATATTTTATTTTCAATCCAAATTCCAGGTTGTACACAAGAATTTTCAACTGACAATTGTGGTGTGGGTAAATCAAAATCTAAAATATCATCATTTACAATTTTTTCTTCTTCCTGCAATTCTTCATTTAGATCTAAATCTATTTCATCTAAACCTTTCCCTCTATAAGCATCTGCTTTTCCATCTTCCATAAGTATTAGAAGTTTTGAAATTTTAGCAGTTTGATACACATCATCTGGCAATCTATACGATTTCTTATGAACTTCATTAGTATGCCCCATGAACGTAGCTAATTGTTCCAGATCATTTTCAGACATACTAAATATTTGTGATAGCGTCGCTAAATGTTTTCTCAGTCTTGTGGAAGAAATTGCTTTCGGATTTTTTGCTCCAGATAATCTCGAGTACCTTTCCAAAACTTTATACCCATATATCGAGTTCTCAAATCCTGGGTTCCCAAACAGTAATTTATTTGTTGTAGAAACAAATTTGTCCCTTATTGTAAGCAGAAGTTTTATATCACCTTGAACTTCTTTACTAAATAACACGGGAACCCCACGTCCTCGTTTGCCTCTAACAACAACTCGTTTAAATGTTTTTACTAAAACTCGCTCAGATGCACTTAGCGTTCGATCGAATTCTTCATATTTTTCAGAAGTATTTAGGTCATTTTCCAAGTAATCATGTAGCGTAATTCTTTGAAGTTCCCCAGGTCTGCGCCGATTCAGTAGCAAAACTCTGCAATATATTGTCTCTAATAATTGTATGTATACCCCAAGGTGATAAGAACCTTCTTTAATTTTATTGGCAGCTTCTTCAGCGTGTTTGTTAAGAAATTTTTTTAAAATTTTTAAATCATTTGCTAAAGGTATTATGGTAACTTTATTCCACTTTTTTTGTTTAGATCGGACGCAGCCTGACTTGAAACATCATATTTCCAATTAGAATCTATAAGGTGTATCAAAGTTTTGAGGCCCGCTTCTATTTCAGCAGTGTTTACTTCCATGTATGGCCCTTGTTTTTTTAATGCAAGCATAAATGCTATATTGCAGCACTGCTTTATGCTAGTAGAAATATTCATTGCAAATGTAGGCGAATCAAATCTATCTTTTTCCGAGTCATATTTACCTACAACCTTTGTAGATGACACTATAAGATCATAATATTTCGGATTAAGTGCACCTAATAAATCTTTCACCGATTGATCTTTTTTTCTTATTTCAATTAACAATTTAGCTAGTTCTCTCATTTTTCTAGAAATTACATTCACAAAATGCATTTCTCTATGATTTTTCATATATTGTGACCCAAATGCACAAATGAGCAAATCTGATTTAGCAACAAACGATATCTTATCAGGTCTCATTCTGGGGAATACGGTTTCTTTAAGTTTTTCATCGATTTTCAAATGTTTTATTAACAAATTTTGTGCTTCTGATTGCACATTTTTAGTATTTTTTCCAGTGCACTTCTTATTATGTTTCCATAAAAGATTTCTTGAATAAAATCCTAAGCAATTAGTGCAAGGTAAATAATTAGTATATTTATGTTTTCTCATGGGCTTCGTCACTTCGACAGAATTTTGTATAAAATTTCCTTTTTTTCTTAGTTCCGTAATAAGTTTTTTTCTTGTTATACTTTTTTTAGGTACTGATAATATTTTTTGTACTTCTGTTTCAAGAGCATGGTTTCTTAGTAAATGTCTCGCAAAATTTAGAACTAAAGTTTCGCAGTAAAAACAAAAGTCTTTATTACGGATTACTTTTTTTTGAGGGATTTTCATATTAGGTATTACTATCTCATTTTTATTACTGTCTCCAAGAACATTATTATTAAGGTGTATAACTACATCTTGTTTCGAAGGATAATTTTTATTGCATGAAGAGCTCTCAATGGAAATTATTTCGCCGCAAGAAATATTATTTTTATTACTAATATGACGACTAGTACTATCTACGTCTTTTGTTGATTCTTGGATGTTTCTTTCTAATATGACGGGACAGTTCATGTTCTCTTGTAGGAATGATTCATCAGAGCTAGTCTGCAAAAATACATTTTAATTTTTAATACATAAATTTAATGTATTTAATCATTATGATGTTTTTGAGAAACATAATACAAAGTAGAATTCAATGATATTTTTTAATATAAGAATAAAGTATTTAACATTGAACATTTTTTCTTTTATAAAAGAACAAATGATAAAATAATTATACATGGTTTATAGAACACTGTACAGTACTGATAATACTGATGACATTGAACAATATACTTCTATAAATGTAGTCGAAATAAGAAAGCATTTGTTGAGTTTTTCACATAAATAAAATTAGTATAAAAAATTAAAAAAATAAATTTTTTATTAAGAAATATAATCTAAATTCATATTTAGTTTATATTTCTTAAATGAATTAGGACTGATATAACAAAATATAGAAAAATCTAAATGGAAAGTATTAAAAATTCAAATAAAAAAAAAATTGTCTCCTTACGTCATGTGCTAGTGTAGTTGGAATCTGTTCCCGAATTGTAATTACTTGAGTCAGACATTTCCTATAACAAAAAGACGATGTGGTTTAATAAAAAAATAACCTATCTGCTGCGTTTTAAATTTTGTTATTGCTGTATGTGAATAGATAGGTAACCAGTTTAAAATTAATGATGGTTGGCAATAATTTACTGAATTATTTCCATAAAGAACCCCACCATACTATAGGTAACTATAGTATAAAGTAAAAAAGATAATTACCTCATTATTTGTTGAATCTGATGATAAATTCACTGATGTTTCAGTTTTTTGACAGGAATCTGAAAATAATAAATAATCCACTTATCTAATAGATTTATAGGTAACTATAATCTCTTTTTTTATAAATGGTGGTAATATTAATATATCTTTGCATGATTTTTATTGTTATAACATTGTGTAAAACAATTGGCTAAAATAAAAAGATTTTGTTAAAAAAATTAATCTTAATTTTAAAATTAAGGTATTTTTTTTATAGAAATCATTATTTTAAAAATAAAAAAGATAATTTTTTATACAACTTAGAACGGCAAACAAGCTGATAGCCCACCATCCCACGCAGATGGAAAGTGGTAACCGTCGAAATCAAATTAGGCAATAGTACATAACTAAATAACACAAAAGTATAATTAATATACTAAGAATGTCTATTATTTCTGTGCGATTATAAATAAAATATGTTAGGTAACCTTTTTAAGTACAATAACATTCGTCTTCCGGGTAGTGATCGTAAATTGCATATTGACAAATATTACACCAAAAGAAAGAACTATTACACAGCTTTAGTATATCATCACGATTCATAGACAAAACAAAATGATTTGGAATCGAATCAAGATCTTTTGTAATTTTTGTGTCACAAACACAACATGTCTTATTTAAAACAAAATGAGTGGAATACCACGGCCACAGTAGACAGTGTTTGTAATAACTTTTGAAGTCATTTCTATTAAAAAATCTATCTACATCAATAACAATGACCATGATGAGGTCGTGCGATTTATAACGACGAATCGACTACTGCAACTGTCTTGATTTTATTGTATGTTTAAGATAACTAAATTATACGTATTAGTATGTAGGTAAGGACGTAAGATTATGTCCTTAAAATTTCTTTTAATTTTCTAACATAAAGTATACTTACTAATATAAATATTAGGTACTTACCTTTCAATAATTGTAAAATTCTCATATCCTTTTCATTTTCGTTTCCAATATATCTGATATTCACTAAACTCACGTATATAACCTTTGCATCTCATAAAGGACGCTTGACCATATGCCACACCGCTCTTAAATAAATAAACATTACAACGCGCGAATTAAGACAGCTACCCCCTCCCCTCCGTCTCTACTCCTTGTCATACGTTCCCATATACACTTTACTAACGGAAGCAATTAAATAATGAATTTAGACAGATAAAAACTTGAAAATTGCCTATAATATACGGTAGTGGCATTCGCGGAGTAATGTATGGAAAAAAAGTTGTATATACGATGCGCCGATATACGGCGCACAGTATCGCCCTCCAAATGTTGTGCGACAAACCGCGGAACTAAAAAATACGTATCTATATACAATAAGGTGACCAAATAGCGTCCATGCCAATTTTTTGGTAAAACGTTATACTAACAATAAGGAGTCTGTGGCATTCAATCTTGCGTCCGGTATTAAATATTGGACGCATATATTGTAAATTCGCCCATATAAGACGCAAGATTATATATATATATATATATATATATATATATATATATATATATATATATATGAACAGTGGAAGGTATTATCAGTAGTTGCCACACTTGGCAGGCGGCAGGTTAGGATTGAATGATGTTTTAATTTAATGGTGGCCCATTCTGTGGCGGGACCATACTACTGGCAACCCTCCCCCCCCTTTATGGGTTCTTCCATAAAGGGGCTTGGGGCCTAAGTTCAGCAGTGGACAGTTAATGGCTGATATGATGATGATAATAATAAAAAAAATACCATTATCCTGGTCACAGTTTGACTGTTCAAGGTATTCTTGTTCAGTGTATTTCAGAAGATCGGATATCCGAGGCATTTCTTCCATGTTGACGTTAATAATGCTATCCTGCTCGCACGCTGTAAAGTGTAAAACGTTCATGTTATGAAATATGTATTTCATATTTTTTGCGCCATCTAATGGCATCTGTAAGCAAGACTGACAGGATTGAATTTAGCGATAACTTTACGATTCACAATATGATTACTAATGATACTAAAATTAATATACAAATTACAGAGAAATTTAATTCATATTGGTCCTTCGAACCGGACATCCAGAAATCAATATAATCTGAAGAAATTTAAGTAGGGATTCCAAAAATACGATTTTATTATTTTATAACATTAAAAATACATTTAAAAACAAGCTTTTATAAATGTAAATCGATTTTCATAGAAGATTTTACAATGATAGTGGCAATTGGCAATTAGCATACGGGTTCGAATCCCATCGCACCGCGCAAAAAGTATTTAAACGGATTTTGTTGAAATTTGTTACGTGGATAGGTTATATCCTAACTAATATGGATTCTTTATATACTCAATTATGTTGGCGAAGCCGCGGGATATAGCTAGTGCTAGATATTTTAAGAAGAATTTGGGTTTAAAAAATCTTTTTAAATAGAAACAGTGTGTAATAAAAGCGTTAACTCACAAGATGCGGCGAAAGGCTCATTGGTGGCAAGCGTGGGTGGTTGTATATACCTGCAATCCAAGATACATGCAAGCTGGTATGTTACATGCAAAGCAAGAAGTCAAGCAGGAAATGCGTGAAGTGACGAAGTAGTCTCCATTTCCACCAAAATTATATATATAAAGTGCAGTTAAACATGTAGCAAATTATACGTTTTATGACATATTGTTATGAAGGGGGTGGGGGGGGGGGACTGTGGAAGGAAGGAAGGATTATTAGTAACGGAGATTAAAAACTCTATTGCTAGCAAAATAAACGGTATACATTGGCGGGGAAGCAGTGAGAAATATATGAAGATAGGTGAAGATAGAAGTGAATCAGCCCATTATAATGACAAGAATAAATCAAGACGGTTTCCACGGCTGACTGCATGGAGGTCAACATGTACCCTACAACTAGCAATTGGACTTTTGACTCATGATATTCATGAATCAAAAGTTATGTAGTTATATGTACCAGCAACAATTTCACCTTAAAGATTTTTCCTTCTTTCCTGTCTTCCTTTCTTATTTATTTATACTTTATTGTACACAAAAATTACGAAGTTAAAGCCTATATTAAAAGAAAATATACAATAGGCGAGCTCATATCTGTAAGAGTTCTCTTCCAGCAAACTTTGAGTGGAAAGGAGCATTAATTACCAGTGGGCAGTGTGTGTTTCTTATTTTTTTTTTTATTTTATTTATTAAGCGCACATAGCAGAAGTTTACAAATGCAAACCTCTTTTTTCTTTCCCTCTATCTATATCATTCTCTTTCTTTCTTTCCTATATAATATCGTGCATTAGTAACCAGCATCGTGCGCTCTCGTGCAACATTACTAAATATATAGTAGTACCTAATTGTAGTCAATAAATTGCATGAATGATGATTAGGAATACACAAGGGAGAAAAGCACAAAACACCAGTAGGAAAGAAAGAAATAGTTGAAAGAAAACTTTACAATATAAATGTAATAATTTTTTTTTATACAACTTAGAATGGAAAACAAGCTGACGGCCCACCTGATGGAAAGTGGTAACCGTCGCCTATAGACATGAGCAGTACCATGGACATAAGAGAGTACACTTTTTCGCCCATGATACCCCCCATGCGTTGCCATTCCTGAGGACTCAGGTGTTATTCCTCTGTACGCTGTAAATTCACGCCATATCCCACCCTTCAAACCGAAACACAGCCAAACACAACTGCTTCACGGTTGAAACACGAAAAGAGGAGGAAAAAATTACAGGGAATAAATATGAAAATACATAACTGATTTTATATGTTCTCACACATAGAATACATATAGAAAGCTACATTATCAGCTGTATATTAAATGAGGCGTGTATATTATTATATATATATATATATATATATATATATATATATATATATATATATATATATATATATATATATATATATATATATATATATATATATATATATATAACATATATATATAACATATAAGATACTTACGCGGACGCCATGACAGGTGTACTGTATGTGCTTATTGTATTCGAGGTGGTAGCCACCTTCAGCAGTGGCTGGTGCAACACAAACTGACCCCTGAAGTTGTACAACGACTCCAGGTAACTGGTGTTGTTCGTTGTGCTCGCTACATACAACGGGAAATTTCTTACTGCAACAGAAATGACCGAAATATTAAGAAATAATACATTGACAGCGGGTCTTTCGAGATCAAATTTAGTTACAGCGTCCAGGATGCAAATTGGGCATGTTTCATTATAAAATTTTTATCACCTTATTGGAGTTAAAAAGTCACCAAATGATAATTCTTTTTTTGATGGGTGAAAATGGTATGGTAACCCCGCCTGCGCTAACGGGACACGCTGGCGGAGTACCAGTGAAGGGTGATCGATGAGAATTAAAACAGGCCAGTTAGCCCATCATGATGAATTCATCAGGAATTAACCATGATAGTTTCCAGGGGGAACCGCGAGGAGGTCGACCTGGTTGGGTATATTGCTAGCAATGGGATTCTCAGTCTCCATTACTAACAATCCCTTTCTCCCCACCAAATGAATTATCATTTGGTGGGGGGAAAGGACAATTATGTCTTCTACTAAAAAAATAGGTCATCCTCATAAGGGAGGTTTTGCCAGTAGTTGCCACGCTTGGCAGGCGGGTTGGCAACTGTAGTTAGGTTTTGGTGTTCTAAGCAGGACGCTGCTGTCTATTCCTCGACCATTAAGTTCCTCGAGTCGCCTCTTACAACGCCCACAGAAAAGGAAAGGCCTATTTTTGCCGCAAGATCTTAAGGAACACAATTATGTAAACCATATTGAAATTGGTGTAGTAGTTTTTGTGTGATGCCAAAACATACATACAGACAGATCTATCATATATTTTTTTTATATATCCCCTATATCGCCGTGAGGTTTTGGTATAGATCAGGTCACAGGCCAGGCCAGGGTCGAGGCATGGACAGCAGCAACCCTCATAAAAAATTACCAAAACCTAACTGCGGTTACCAACCCGCTTGCCAAGCATGGCAACTACTGGCAAAGGCCCTTATGGGGGAGACCCATATTCAGCGATGGACAGTTAACGTCCAATATGACGACGATCAGGGTTACTAGTAAAAACAACTTACTTCTGTCTGCCTCTTCGCTCACTTGTACATAAATTGGTTCACGTAAATCACTTTGTATATCGTTAAATTTGCTGAATACCTCATTTATATGTGGCAATTTGGTAGATGCCTCCCTTGGATAATAGTTACTGCTACACGGATCATTATAATATTGACCATCGTGATGAGTTTGTGCCACATATGTGCTATAGTACGCATGGTTCTCAAAATCCTCATTAATATTTGTCAAAGTCGGATAAAGATAATTATTGGACGGCATATTGGTTTCTGTGGCTGAATATACAGGGTCCATATTAGTTTGTGTTTCGACGTTGTAGTCGATTATATCTTGAACAGTAACTTCCAGATCGCGGCAGGTGTTTTGAGTATTACTACTCTCTACAGAATTTTTTATTGGTATCTTAGGTTTTTGTACTAGGGCGTTTATTTTGGAAATCTTCCCGTCTCTGTGTCTGAAGCCAATGCTTTGTACGAATGAGCTCTTTTTTAGGGCCACTTCTTTGGATGTAATGGGGTAAATGCCGCTCAAAACTCTTTGACGTCTCGCAGGCACCGCCGGCGTGGAGTTCTGGAATTTTTTTAATGCAACTTAGAATGGCAAACAAGCTGACGGTCCATCTAATAAGGAAGTGATAACCGTCGTCTATAGACATGAACAGTATCATAAAAAGAATAGCTTCTAGAAAGGGATGAAAATTGAATAGTAACCTGCTTATCCTGTCAGTAGATACTAGCATAGTACCAATGACGATAATGAAGATGACGTCAGATGATCACGTGATTTGTTGTGACAATTTCATCATATATTAACTGTGATGGTTTCCAGTTAGTACAGCATGGAGATCAAAGACTATGGGACCCCTATTACTATAAATGGGGGGAAGGGTTATTATTCTATTTTCATCTAGTAACAAAAACGAATGGTTATATTAGACAGTTTTATAAATCTAAACATATTTATAATAGAAAGACAGCATTTCAATTTCAATAGAAAGTATCCAAAAATTGTTAATTAAAATTAAATTTAAAAAAAAAAACAGACTTCAATTGTGGCAACACTATTTTGATTTAAAAATTGTACTGAATCGATTTTTACAAATATTCTATAAGACCAATCTGTAAGTAATCCTATCAGATAAAAAAGAAATCCAAATCGGTTTACATCTGACAGAGTTATGAGGTAATAAACATTAAAAAAAATACAACTAAATTGAGAACCTTCTTCTTTTTGAAGTCGGTTGAAATGTATACTCACCATGCTAGTACTAGGTACGGAATAAGGACATCTATTTTCACTACTTTTAAAGTCGAAATTACTAGACTTCAGCATTCCCTGCTGTGGCTTTTTTACAACACAATTGGCTTTTATATTCCATTTTTGATCCACATCTCGGTTTACTTTGAATCTGGTTTCATTTGGACTTTTCTGAGTTTTAATTACATTAAATAACGAGTTATTTACGTTCAAGGACTCGTAATTGGTTTTCTTAATAGTTTTTATATTGAAACTACGTAAGATTCTGTCGCTTCGTCTTGATTTCTTCGGGGAGGGGTAGGTTCTTTGCACGACTCTGGGTTCTGGGGCTTTCAGTCGAGGGTAGTTCATAACAGTCTGATGTGAGTCCGAGCTGCACGGCATAATTTGACCTGGACGCTTTGGGGTGATCGTTATAGGTGGCGAGTGACTATTGCTGGTCGAAGATATTTCCGATCCCTGTAAAAATGAAATACATGTATGTATTATGTACAAATTAAATAATTTTTTTTCACGTAAAAAAATTATAATAAAAATAATATATAAATAATATTTTTATTTATGAATAGTATTTTTTTATGAAACTATTGCCCAATTCGAAATTTAATTTCTACTGAGAAGAACGGACAAGAAACACAGCTGTTGTTTTTTTCAAATAAAAGTTAAGTAACAACAAAAAAAAGTGAATAGTAAACTTCGTATTGATAAAAAGAAAAAAAAAGCTACCAAGCTACAATTGATCAGTGTTCTTGTGTTCTAATTAAATATTTAATAAAAAAAAAAAATCTGTGACACCCGACACGTCAGTTCTTTAGTATGTGTGTGTTATGTTCATAGCAGTGGTATTTGCATTGAAGTGAGATTTAAAATGAAATTTTATTCGTAAAAAACATAACTGTAGTTTCTTAACTAATATTAATATTATAGTTTTATAAAGGTATAGTAGTTGTGGTTTTAGAACTAGGCTCCTAAATAGGTTAATATAATAACCTGTGTTAACCCTTTCAGACCCAAGATTTTTTTCTTTCAGATTAAATATATTTTCGTGTTTTGGAGCCAAGCCATCTTGCCGGCACGCACGAGACTACTGCACCACCTAACCGCTAAAATGATTTCTTATTGGCTGGTTTAGAATCTCACTATCATGTTATTTCAGCTTCGTGCGTAAAAATGAATTGCGCGCGGTTTTAGAATTTTTTAAAGTTACAACTCACGCCCGTATCGTTCAGGTCTGAAAGGGTTAAGGGGCTATATCCCCAACCCCCTTTAGTGTTATGGAGAAATTAATATTGATATAGAGTAATATTGACGCAGCGACCTGCTGATGTTCAAGTAATTAAAATATTCTTTATTGCACTTGAATAAAAGATACAACGATTAGTTTAACAACTTGTTAGCAAGGGTGGGCTTATCTCTAACAGAGATTACTTCCAACCAATGCAGATAGAGAACAAATAACTAGCGGGTAATCTAGTGCAAGAAAGGTACAGGTAAAAAGGATAAAAAAAAATAAACATACAAAAATTAATATGTCTTAGGGTTTTTTGGTTTACGTAAATTTGGCCGGGTCTCTAATTATCGTGAAGAATTAAAATGGTTTTCGACTAAATGTACATACATTGACGCTACTTTACAATATCTTGCATAAACCTTCCAATCATTGTTTTTTTTTACTTTTTTGTCACTTTTTTTAATCACTTTTTTTTATACCACTGAGGTGGCAAACAAGCATACGGCCCACCTGATGGTAAATGGTTATCGTAGCCTATGAACACCTGCAATACCAGAGGTATTACGCGTGTTGCCGACCCTATTGTAGGATATGAGGATGAACTCCCTATCAATGGCGATAACCGCGCGATGGAAGTAAATGGCTGTAGGCATCATATTGAACAATTCCTATGAGCATAATCCGTTGTACAAACGGTAGAACACGCAGAGTGAGGCAAAATCTCTCCTAAGACTTGAGGGTTTGATACCGCTTGTAAGCTTGGGATCAGGGACAATTCTTATAGCTCGTCGTTGCAACAAGTCGAAGGGTACAAGCTGGTATTTAGGTGCTCTCGCCCATAACTAACAGCAATACTCCATTGCTGGAAGGAAATCTCTTGTAATAAAAGATAAGCTCCTCTTTGCACGTTACATTTAAAATTAAATGTTTTTATGATTACATGGTGTACAATAAAGAATAAAGTTTGCTGGCTGATGACCAGTGAACATGCTCTCAATTTCGGCTACTCATCAACACTGGTGAAACTCCAGTATGTATTGTGTATATATACGTGTAGTAACATCACGCCGCTTTTTAGTGGAGGGCAAAAGGACCATATTGTTACCTAGTATATTAAATTTTTGCATTTAACTAGATTTGGACCTGCACAGTATATGATGTCCTGCGACTGCTTTTCTTCCTGACCTGTGACAGTTGCAGCCGTTCCAATTTCACCTTCTTCACAATACTTTTCACCTCATCCATGGTGCCAAACTGTTTGGCATGTATTAACTGGATCAAGTAGACTTTCTGTGGAGTTATGAAACAAAATATTTGTGTTTATTTTTTTTATATGATATTTCATATAGATCAGAACTTTGGAAATATTATAAATTACTACTATACTATTATTATTATCTATACTGGATATGTATTTTTTTTTAATAATACATATATTTTATATATAATTATTGCATGACATGCAATCATATTATTCTAAGTAAACACAGAGACAATATGGTCTATGATTATCATTAACTGAAAAATGAATACATAATTTTACTCTTAGTGGTTGTCCAGGGGGTGACTTTGTACAAAAGTCAATTGCTTGGGTATCTCTGTCCTATTCGTGTTTCAACCGTAAAGCAGTTGTGTTTGCATGGTTGTGTTTCGGTTTAAAGGGTGGGATGTGGCGTAAATTTACTGGGTACAGAGGAATAACACCTGAGTCCTCAGGAATGGCAATGCATGGGGGGTATGATGGGCGAAACAGTATACTCTGTTATGTCCATGGTACTGCTCATGTCTATAGGCGACGGTTACCACTTTCCATCAGGTGACCCATCAGCTTGTTTGCCACTTTAAGTTGTATATAAAAAAAAATCTGAAGTTTAAATTACTTCCTGATAATACAGCTTTCTGTAGGTAAAAGATTTTTTCAAATTAGTCATGTAATTTTTATGTACATTACAAACATATTATTTTAGTTCAGAAAAAAAATGTCCTATGTGTTAATATATTGAGCAATTTAAATTGGACTTATTAATGGGTAAAATTGAATGGTCACCCTGCCTGTGCTACCAGTGTATGCTGGCAGGACACTAATTAGAGATTAAGATGAAAGCAGGACTGTTTCCAGAGAAAACTGCATGGAGATTGACCTAATATATCCTATATTAGTATTAATAAGGCTGTTATACCTTATTAACAATTCCTTTCTCCTCTTTTAAACAGGGTTTTTTTTTATGAGTGAAAATGGCATGGTAACCCCGCCTGCGCTATTGGTATACACTAGCGGGGTACCAGTAATAGGTGATAAGTGAGGATGAAGGTAGGTCAGTTAGCCCGCTGTGACGAATTCAATGATAAATTGGTTATGAAAGTTTCCAGGGGTGTGTGGAGGTCGACCTGATTGGGTATATTGATAGCAATGGGGACTAAACTCCCCATTACTAACAATCCCTTCCCCCCTTTAAACAGGGTTTGAATAACAGATGTTTTCATAAAATTTCATATTTTAAAATACTAACTTCATTCTTTAGTGTTTGTCTGTATGGATTGAGGAATAAGGGATCTAAATTGTAATTCAGTACAGATATAGTATTTTTGTATATCAAATTTTATTCAAATTCAAGTAGCTATATGAGTGTGATTGAGTAACAAAATATTAAAACATTCTTATAGACTATAAAAAGGTCTTAAAATATTAAAAAATAACAAAAAACAAAAATTGTAATAGGAATGGAAGTAGGATTATAAGTTCATTGTTATAATTTAAAGTTTAGGTCCTTTAGCAGTAGATTTCATTGACCTGCTTTTTAAAAAATAAATACCCTACTTTCAACTATTAGAAAAACTTTAGAAAAATATTAAATAGATTTAAAAGTAAACTTTTATAAAACTTCCAATAATTTTGCAGTAAATAGTACAAAGTAACTTTTTAAAGTAAGTTTTTAAAAGAGATAGTCCAGCTAGAATCCTATATTAGATATTTTTTTCTAGTTAGGTAGGTACATTAATCTGATGCATATTTGAGTCGATGAAAACCTTACCTTAAAATTAGAAGGCAAGGCCATAGATTTAGCTATATGTTGTAAAAAACGATAGGAATATTCTTCTAATTCTCTCAAAGAATGAAATTTATTTTGTATTTCCATTTTGCTTCACATTACAATATAATACAAAAATGCAAAAACCACGTGCCTCTGACACTTAATTCTAGAAAACATTACAGAAATACTGGTTAATATTACCCTCTATAATATGGACAAATTTATAGAATTTAAGGTATATTTATTTTTAATATAAAAATATTTTAAACCTTTCAAATTCAAACTAAACAGGTTGAGGGATGCCAGTACTATATGCTATTTACCATCAATAGCAAAACGAATTACGATTTATCTTTTATTTACTCTTTTCTTATGATAATTAAATTTAATACTTAAAATCATTAAAAAAATATATTAAGTGCTATTTTATTTATTTTAAAATCTCTAAACGAAAAACACATACTTTTTTTATTTTATAAAAAACATTGGCAATAAAATAAGCACCTATGTTTAGTTACTTTCTTAAGCTCTCTTTTTTTAATTTTAATTTTTATATACGGACTATACTATATGCATGTAAGAAAAATAGACCTACTTGTAATAATACAAATAATATTTTGAATTACAAAATTCATCTATTTACCTAAATGTAAAGTAACAATTTTTAACCCAGTAATCCTATCAGGCATATATAATATATAAAAAAGCTGATCTGTTTTTCGAAGGATTTGTATTGAGACACTATCTATTTTATCTAAGGCAAAAATATATTTTGCATTATTTCGTCTTTGTAGTCAAATATTTTATAATTTGTTCGTGTTACTGATAATAAAAATAAATATATATAAAAATAAATTTCAGAAGGATCTAGTTTGATACATACAACATTTCCTTAAATTTAGGGCAATATTCCATATTTGGAAACCCTGTTACAAAATAAAAAAAAAAAGATACGTTTCGTTTCACAGAAAAAGTAAGTTGTTAATAAGAAATGATGTATAATCTTAATACATTATCCAATAAAGACACAAGAATAGAAATAATGTTATTTTTTCTCTTTACTAAAATAATATATTGCTTATACTCAGACTATTATAGTAGATAATTTTTTTTCAATGGATGATAATGAAACTGTAACCCTGTCTGCGCTAACAGTATACGCTGGCGGGGCACCAATGAGGGATGATAGTTGAAATAGGTGAGGATGAAAGGGCAGGTCAGTTAGCCCATCGAGATGAATACACCTAGAATTCAGCACGATGGTTTCCAGGGGGAATCACATGGATGTCAACCCGACAAGGTATATTACTAGTAATGGGACTGATAGTCCGCATTACTAACAATTCCTTTCCCCCTATAGTAAGTAATTAGGTAATGGTAATTTTAGTATAGTGATTTAGTAGTCAGGATCCTTGTTTTTTGTTTAGGACGCTGTCCTAAGGATAATTCCTTACAAGAACAAACAGTTTTAGCTGAAAATTTTATGCTGTTCGCTGTCAATCTTTATGTTTAATATATTTTATACTATTTAAAAGCGATCAGCATCGTTTGTGCTGCCTCTGCAGAGCGAGTTAGGAACTAAAATTATTATACTTCTTTTTAGCTTTTCATCTGTCATTTATTCGCAAATAATGAAGCTATTTGTTTGTCAGAGAAAAGTACGTCTTGCTTCGTAAGACCAGTTTTTACAAATAGAATAATTATATACAATAAAAAATAAAATAAAATCGTTTGGAATTAAAAGTCGGGTTGTCAGGGTATAGTGCCAGCAATAGGGGCTGCCGTCCCCATTACTAACAATTAAATTAACGAGACTAGTTTTTTTAATGAGTTGAAAATGAAACGGTATCCCTGCCTGCGCTATAAGTACGCTGGTGAGGCATCAGTAAGAGATGATGAGTGAGGATGAAAGTAGATTAATTGACTTGTTTTCATTCTCACCCATCGTGACGAATTTCCCAACAGTAAACCACGATGGTTTTCAGAGGAAAAAGGCATGGAGGTTGATGTGATAGGGTATTGCAAGCAATGGAGCTGTTAGACCCGTTATTAACAATCTCTTTTTCCTTGTAGGCTTGAGAGCACCTGCTAGCATGTATCTTCCTAACGCTTTCTCCGGCATTTCCCTCCACATCTTCCTATTATGCCATCACTGGTAAAATAAGTTAGAATTAGGATTAAGAATTTTAATTCTTAGGTAGGCAAAAATAAAATATTAAAAAAATATTGTCTTTGGTCGTGTTTATTTTTTATCTTTTCACAATAGATGGCAATTGAACCGGGGATGTTTTCGCTTCCTGTGATTCTATTAACCTTTTAAATGGATGAACTGGATTTGTGCTGAAACAAAGAATAAAATTGTACCGTAAAATATTTAATATCACAAACTGATGTCCTTGGGGACAATTCTGAGACTTTTTTCTTTAAACCAATCTCTTATAATTTGATTGTTTCCCGAATTTACTGTTTTGTAGACTATCATAAACTAGATTTATAATATTTTTTCTTAAATCTATTACAAATTTTATCAATATTGCAATTTTAATTTTAGAGATAGGTATATTTTGAGAAATTTAGCCTTAGAATTTAAAAGTATAGTATTTTTTTATATAACTTTTCAAATTTTATTTTAGTTTATGGCTAGCCGTAGGCTATATACTATACTGTAGAATTTTGGCAAAAAGTGATCTTTTCTGCTCTGCGTTGTTTGCCGCCAAATATGATAAAAAACCTACCTGTATAAATACAAGTCTGTGGGATGTCTCCTATAATCTGTTGTCTATGTTCAGGCGTGGACAATGAATTAGTGACTGAAATATTGTTTATGCTGAATAGTTTGTTTATGGAATTATTATATGTCCACTAGCTAACTGTGCGACCCTTGTTTTACCTTTCACCGCCACCTACAGGATCTATTATATATCCCGATACGGGATATCTTACCATGTGGTCCCGGCACAGAATGGGCCACCCTTTCCTTTTCTGTGGGTGTCGTAAGAGGCGACTAATGGAACTTAAAGGTCTAGGGGTTGGTAGCAGCGTCCCACTACACTCAAAACATTACTAAAGTTTAACTGCGGTTGCCAACCTGCCTGCCAAGCGTGGTAATAACTGGAAACACCCCATATGGCGGAGATCTATGTTCAATGGTAGACAGTTAACGGGTAGATAGAAAACGGTAGATATAAATGAATGAAAAACGGAATACTAACCAGTGGCGTAATCATACCATTTAAAGCTTGTGATCAATTTATCGGATGAGGCCCTGCCTTTATATAAAAAAGTTTGTTATACTTTCATTTTATGCCCAGGCAGGCAGGCAGGCCATTTTAGGGCCCGCTCTACCACTCTACTGTTACGCTATTGATACCAACTATCCTATCCCTCACGTAGTAGGGAAAAAGGTTCAGCGATTACAGAAATCAGCATGACATTGTCATCAAAATGGTTGGTTTCTTACTTACACTTACACAACTTACACAAGAAGTACTAGATGGCGTTGTAATCAAGATTGTTATTTTTGTTATTTATTTTGTGATTAAAGAAAGAAGAAGTAAAATTTCTATTGGCGACTGGTTTTTATTATTATTTATGAATGTAAAGTGATAACTAACACGTGCTCTTTTCCCGAATGAATCATAATTCACTATATCGCAATGTTTTTTGCTAGTATGTGATTTTTAGAAAGTTATACAAAACAAGAAAATAAAGACAAAAATTGTAATAAATTATTATTATATCGGTGGAAAAATAAATAAAACCATTCGCCATTTTATAAATATTGTGTCAAATTATATTTAATTACTAAATAATCAACGAAAACTCGATTCTAGATCGTTTTAACATTTAAAATTTACCTTGTCCTTGTCGATGACGTTTTATGTCTACTTTCCATTACATCTTTGAACAGCTCTGCTCTTTTAGTAAAGGGGCTTTCTTTGTGTGCAATGTCTTTTAATTCGGATTCCTGAAATTTTGTAAGAATTAAATTATTAAAGGACTTTAGAAGGTACTTTACCAGAGGGAGACTTTGTACAAAAGTCGATTGCTTGGGTACCTCTGTCCCATTCGTATTTCTACCGTGAAACAGTTGTGTTTGCATGGCTGTGTTTCGGTTTGAAGGGTGGGATATGGCGTGAATTTACAGGGTACAGAGGAATAACACCTGAGTCCTCAGGAATGGCAACGCATGGAGGGTATCTCTGTTATGTCCATGGTACTGCTCATGTCTATAGATGACGGTTACCAGTTTCCATCAGGTGGGCCGTCAGCTTGTTTGCCATTCTAAGTTGTATAAAAAGAAAAAAAAAACTAGAATGTTTAAATTTACTTTAGAATTCAATATGATGTCCACGGTCACTTTCTATCATTATACGGCTCGCCATCGACAGGGAGTTCACCCTCATACCTTACAGCCTAAATGGTCGCGTACAACGCGGTTTCAGAGATGTTTTCTCCCACAAACACTCAGATTATGGAATGTGCTCCCTGCCGAGGTTTTCCCGAGAGACTACAGTATGTGGTTTTTCAAAAGAGGGGTAAAGAGGTTTCTTCAGGGTCGGCATATCGCGCGTAATACCTCTGGTATTGCAGGCGTTTATAAGCTACGGTAACCGCTTACCATCAGGTGGGCCGTATGCTTGTTTGCCACCTCAGTGATATAAAAAAAATTAAGATTTTTAAAATTAATAAATGCCTATGAATGAATTACTTATATAACTAACTCCAATGTTATTCTTGTGACTATCATTTTTATTTCTTTTTTTGACATAAAAGGCTCTCAAATCGGTTAATTTTTTAATGCGGTTTTCTGAACTGATTTTTTATGTTCTCTTTTAATCGAAGGGGTTTACTCCTATATCGATCCTAATCTCATTTTATCATGATTTATATCAATCTCAATATCCCTACTTTTTCAGGTTAAATTCTCTCGAATTAAGTTCGAAAATTTTTCTTAATACTGTCTTTAGAAATAGTGAAACTTTTAAAAGAAGTTATTCATTAAAGAATATTTACTATAAATTTCTGATTTTCCTTAATCTGCTCACTCAAACTTCTTCTATACTCTATTTGTTTTCTTAATTCCTCATCGGCTTTGTTTAATTTCCTTTGCAGTTCAGACAGAGCGGTTCTTGTGACGCGTTGCATCCTCTCGCTTCGTTCTTGACGCTCCCTCTCTATTTCATTCTTCTTCGCATCTAAATATCTCTTGTAGTCTTGAGCAGCTCTCTGTTCAATTGAATAAAGTTTGAATATATTATTTGTAGTAAGAGACTAGACTATCTGTACCAGAGGGAGACTTTGTACAAAAGTCGATTGCTCGGGTACCTCTGTCCCATTCGTGTTTCTACCGTGAAGCAGTTGTGTTTGGATGGCTGTGTTTCAGTTTGAAGGATGGGATATGGCGTGAATTTACAGGGTACAGAGGATTAACACCATGTGCGAAACAGTATACTCTGTTATGGTGGTCCATCAGGTGGGCCATCAGCTTGTTTGCCATTCTAAGTTGTATATAAAAAAAAAAGTAATCAGTAGACTTGCAACGAATATTCCGTTATAATTAGGTATTCGGCCTATTCGGTTACTTTTATTCCATTCGGCTAAATATCGAACAATATTTGTAAAGAGTTTTGCATTCTATTATTAATTGTTTTCCGCGGCCATGTGTCAGGTTAGGATATAACCTACCTGTGTGGGGAGAAGGGATTGTTAGTAATGCGAACTATCGATCCCAATGCTTGCAATATACCCTATCAGGTTGACTTACAGGTGAACCATTCATAAGGAAACCATCGTGCTGAATTGCAGGTGTATTCATCACGATGGGCTAACTAACCTGCCTGGGGGGATAGGGATTGTTAGTAATGGAGACTGAGAATCCCATTGCTAGCAATATACCCAACCAGGTTGACCTCCTCGCGGTCCTCCCTGGAAACTATCATGGTTAATTCCTGATGAATTCATCATGATGGGCTAACTGGCCTGTTTTCATTCTCATTAATCGCCCTTCACTGGTGCTCCGCCAGCGTATCCCGTTTGCGCAGGCGGGGTTACCATACCATTTTCACCCATCAAAAAACTGACCTGCCTTTCTATTTTTATCTCTCATCCATCACTGGTGGGCACCAGTGATGGATGAGAGATAAAAAAGAATAAAATGCCAGCGCATACCGTTAGCACAGACGGTGTTACCATTGCATTATCATCCATTAAAAAAATATATCCATATATAATTTTCCCATTTATAATAGGTACCGATTACTAAGATAAAAGGTGGGGAATTAACGCAACCATTTTCAGGAACGGAGCCATGACCTCCCCATATCAGTCCGTTCGTGACCACGGTCTATGGAACCTGATCGAAACGTCGAGATAACCCAGATAAATTGTTATATTTCACCTTAATGTCCATGTTAATTTTCGTCTCTTATTAACCATAAATGCATGAAGTGAGCTATGAAGCAGACTGAAATTAGAGATGAAAATATTGGCCGTGTGGTCCTGGCATAGAATATGCTACCCTTCATTTCCCGTGGGTGTCGTAAAAGTGGACTAAGGGAGGGCGAGGGATGGGCAGCAGCGTCCCTAAAACATTTCTAATGTGACTGCGGTTGCCAATTCGCTTGCCAAATGTTGCAACTACTGGCAAAACCCCCCAAGGGGGAGGCTTATGATCAGCAGTGGACAGTTAAAGGCTGATACGATGATGATGTAAATTCCTAAAGAGGGTTGACGTCAGGCAGGTGGCCGGTCGTAAAACTAAAAAAACCAAATCTTTTTGTAATATGGATAAAATCATATTACGCCAACCCCAAATGATTGGGATAAGGGTAGGAAGATGATGATGATGATGATGATGATGTAAATTAATATAAACGTGAATGGTTGTAGGAGTAAGGGAAGTAAAAAAGAGATTGATTTTTTATTTTAGATTCGAAAAAGGAAGCACTGAGATGGCCTGTTGTAATAAGAGATGAATAAAACTGAAATATATTACGTCGACTCTAAATAGACATGTAACAGGGTTAGAAAAATGACATACACTTATATTTTTTACCTGTTTACCCATTAATTTTTCAGTTTCAATTCTCCTAAGGTATTCGTCCAACTTGTTTTCCTCCATTCGTTTCCATTCTGAAGTCATTTTGTCTGACTCTTCCTCCAATTCACAAGCAATTTTCCTCTCATGGTTAACGTTCGTTGTGCAGATTTCTTTCTCCTTTCGTAAGTTATGCTATAAGAAAAATAAATATTTATTTATTTTTTTTATTTCAAGATAGATTTGCGATTGATTTTACCTCCTCTAAAGATGAAATTTTGTAGGCAAATCAGATATATTTTACTTATATTGTGTATTAAATTATGCATATTATAATAAAATAATTGCGTTGGTATGGTCATTTGGAGAGGATGGATGAAAGAAGAACTACGAAAGAGATTTATCGAGCAAGAATGAATGGAGATGTCGGTAGGGGCCGCCCTAGATGGACGTATGTCGACCAAATAGGCGACGTGCTGAAGAAGGGCCAAATTAAAAGTACCCGTAACCGGCGAGCGTGTATGAAAAGATTGATGAATGTGGAGGAAGCGAAAGAGGTTTGTTTAAATCGAAGCATTTGGCGTTCCATTGTTTCTGCCTACCCTAATGGGAGACAGGCGTGACAGATATGTATGTATGTATTATAATAAATAATTCATTATGCATGGATATAAGCATCTAGCATATATTCTTAGGATATAGAAACTACTAAGGGTACGAAGCCTGTTAATTCAAGCCCTTTGAACAAGACGTCTGGCCTTCTTTTATAGGGACCTAGTGTTAATTAGTGGGATTTTAATGGATTATTAAGGTATTTATGTAAATTTTGATATTATAATTACAAAGAAAATAAAAACAGATAGCTAAGTCGTCATTGTTTAGCGATCTATGCTGAATAAAGAGGCCTCTCCTAATGGTCCATACTGAGTATTCCTAACTTGTACCATTTACGTATAATATGTTTGCTGCGACTATACGAAAGCACTTTACAAATAAACTATTGAAATAAAATTATTATTAATATAATGTTTTAATCTAATAAATCATCATCATTATCATTTCAGCCTTATCCGTCCACTGCTGGACATAAGCCTCCCCCATAGACTGCCATAAAGAACGGTCCTGAGCCACCTGCATCCACTGACTCCCTGCAATGCATTTGAGGTCTTCACTCCATCTAGTGGGGGGTCGTCCTACATTACGTTTACCCGTACGCGGCCGCCACTCAAGAATCTCACTTCCCCATCGGTTGTCGGTTCTTCGAGCTATGTGATCAGCCCATTGACACTTCAGCTTGCTTACCTTTTGATAAAGTCACAGAACAGATTTTTTTTTTAATTTAATTAATATGCAAATATATACAAAAAAATTAAGAACTTTAAGTATCCATTAAACCTCATGTCTATAGGCGACGGTTACCATTTTCCATCAGGTGGGCCGTATAAAAAAATAACCTCTTGGGCTTGTGTCTACTAACATTACATTTTATTCTCAAATAATTAATACTGACATAAATGTTCCTTTGTATAATAAGGTTGGACAGATAATATGCGTTTAGTTAAAATTTTATGTTTTCAACAGTAATATTGTTTCTCAAGTTGGTAGGCACAGAATTTACTAAACGCGGTATGAGGTTTACCAGAGAGAGACTTTGTCCAAAAGACGTTTGCTTAGGCACCTCTGTTTCATTCGTGAAACAGTTATGTTTGCATGGCAGTGTTTCTGTTTGAAGGGTGGGATATGGCGTGAATTTACAGGGTACAGAGGAATAACACCTGAGTCCTCAGGAATGGCAACGCATGGAGTGTATCATGGGCAAAACAGTATACTCTGTTATGTCTATGGTACCTACTGCTCATGTTGACATTCACCGCTTTCCATCAGGTGGGCCGTCAGCTTGTTTGCCATTTTAAGTTGCATAAAAAAAGGTAGGCGCTCGTTCGTTCGCCATTGTATTTTCAATAGCGGGTATTTCAAAGAAAAAGAAATCGTATTATAGATATAGTACGATTTCTTTTTCTTTGAATTTCTTATTTAACCTGACTTGTATTAACAGGTATGTAACTATTAAATACAATTCTTTTGGCGGACTCTTAAGATTCACTTACCATCTCATCAATCTTTCTTTGTCTCTCTTTCTGCAATTCTTCTAAAGCTATTCTAATAGTGTTATTTTCTAGTTGTCTCTCTTGCATCTTTTCTTGTTTCAATCTCGAAAGTTTTGTATTGTGACCTTCTATAAAATTTTGTTTGTTCACTAATTGCTGTTCCTTTTTACGTTTTATAGCTGAAAATGAAAGATGTGTTAAAACAATGTTTGCCTCCAACTTGCTGGAGTTTCGTCGAGTGACCACAGAGTATTTGTGTTCAGACGTTTTTTGTTTCAGTGGAGTATTTTTGTATTATTTTTTGTTTAATATTTTTGTGTAATATTTCTTTTGTACGTTATTGTACTCATGCTTTACTGAGTGAGCGTATTGGAAGACTGTAAGGCTCACCCAGTAGATGTAATAAATAAATAAATAAATAACATTAAATTTGCAGCATATTACCTTCATCACGGTATTTATACATCTTTATTAACATCGAATATTACGCTCATTTGTAGATGCAAAATATTTTTCTACATCTTCAAATAATACATGGCAGGAACGTTTAGAAAATAAAAGCTATCTAGGAAAATAATAACATCAAGTGGTTACGTACATAAAGGATCTTATATTGAAATATAAAAGAAATAAATCTAGGAACAAAAGAGAATTAATATAAGACATTTTATATGGCATATTTATTAAAAATTATTGAGAATAAAATTTGCCGTGTGGTCCCGGCGTAGAAGGAGCTACCCCTTCATTTCCAATGGGTATCGTAAGAGGAAACTAAGGGAACTTAATGGTCGAAGATTGGGTAGCAGCGTCCCTCTTAAACATCACCCAAAGCCTAACTGTGGTTGCCAACCTGCCTGCCAAACGGGGCAACTACTGGCAAAACCTTCTTATGGGTAAGGCCTATCTTCAGCAGTGGACATTTACGGCTGATATAATATAATTATTGTAAAAAACTAAACTGATAAATAAACTTTTGTTAATTAATTTATGCAATTCTTACCGTCATAATGATCTTGCTCCATTTTCTTTTTCATTCTGTCCAGTCTCCTGTTCTCTTTTTCCCTTTCTTCTCTCAGCAGCTCCTGTCTCTTTCTGTTGGCACTGGCTATTTGTTCGTCATACGCCATACGACGCTCGAGCATCTCTTGCTGATCTCTTTGCTTTTTTATTCTTTCCTCTTCTTCCTGTCAATGAATTTATTAAATAAATTTAAATAATTGATCAAATCTAATGTCTATAGGTTTTTGTACGTATAGGTGTCAGATATATTAACACATAGCACCCTACATCATCATAATTATTTCTGCTCCCTTTTCATAGTTCACTTTGATTATATGCTTCTCCCATAGAGAGCTCCAAGGAACAAATGCCATAGACCGCATTTGATTTTTAATTGATTAAAAATATATAATTTTATCAATTCAGGATATCTAAATTGAAGAAAATTAAATAATTTAAAAGATCGTAATGATTCTTTCAAATTACTGTACGTCTATCGAGACATAAGCTTTATGGGCAGAGTCCTTTTCCTTTCCCTTTGAGATAAACAGAACCAAAGAAAAGTTTATCATTGTATAGTACAAGCAAAAAGTCTAATGATTCGATTGACCAATATTCGGGAACTATGCCAGCATAGTTTCCCGAATCTTGAATCGTGTATGATCTGGATCTTACATGAATCATAATGAGATTTACTTTGCATAACTTGCCGTATTTAATAAGACCTTTTACTCTGTAGGCATAATATTAAAGAATTAGTATATTTATGTAGGAGGGGTCATCATCATATCGGCCGTTAACTGTCCACTGCTGAACATAGGCCTTTCCCATAAAAGAGGTTTTGCCAATAGTTACTCCGCTTGGCAACCGCTTTAGGCTTTGGTGATATTTTAAGATGGACGCTGTTGTCTAGTTTTGACTATTAAGTTCCTTCCTTAGTTGCGTCTTATGATATCTACGTGAAAGGAAGAGCTAGTCCGTTCTATCCCGGGATCACATGGCAATGTATTCACCATGTAGGTGGGATATACAAAGTAAAAAATGTTTACGCACTAACTTACGCACACGCACACACACATACACACACGCACGCACACACACATACACACACGCACGCACGCGCACACACACACACACACACACACACACACACACACACACACACACACACACACACACACACACACACACGCACACGCACACACGCACACCCATACAAACACCTATGCATATCCAAACTTACATTCAATGTCACATATTTAAATTAACCCTGTTCGCCGCACTATAACTGTTAAATTTCTAGCTTTGACTTCCACGAGACAGGCTTTGCCTAGTGTGGGCTCATAGTTCTATTGTACTACAGGCTAATTTTGTTTAAGGAAATAAAGTTATTAGTTATTATTAGTTAAAGTTATTATTATTAGTAAATCCTATTATGTTTTCTGTGAGTTTTTTAATACCTCAGATTACGATATAAAGTAATTATTAATAGTGAGTTAAAAACCTTTCTCTTCACATCGTTTAATAGTAGACTATGCCACATCCTCTCTCTATTTTCTTCTTCCTGTTCTAAATATTTCTTTTCTTGCATTTGTATCCTCTGCATCTCTCTGAGTCGTAATTCATCTTCTTTTGTACATTGCATACCTTTTGCACTACAAGAATATTAGTTAATACAAATAACAAGTAAGCAGACATAGACATACTCTCTCTCCCTTTTCATTTACGTTTCCTATGGTTGGTGCAATTAATACGTGCATTTTTTTCCAGCTAGTTCTACTTTAGGTCATATTTTTAACACCATGTGTTTAGCCAGATACAGTACTATTAATAATATAAATATGAATGCTTGTAACAATGGATAGATGGATGTTTGTTATATGCAAAAACTAATGAACGGATTTAAATGAAATTTGGTACACGAATAGGTTATATCTTAACTTAGCACATAGGATCCTGTATATACAAATTCACTCAAGCAAAGCCACGACACGTAATTGTAGTTAGAGAATATAATTAAGATAAATATTGAATACCTGATTTTAAAGATCGTTTTAAAATTACAGAACTGTTCAACTTAAAAGTAAATCAATAAGCTAAATCGTGAATAATTAAACTTTGTTTTGTTTTTTTTTTTCATAAATAGATATAAGAAGATATAAAAATTATTGTGAGTAAAAAATAACTTCAAGGTAAAGTGCATACATTTTTTATCATTGTTGTTCTACTTGGAAATTAAAAATAATTAATAATTAAAGATTGTGTGCTGTTGATTGTGTACTTACATAGATTCTCTTTCAAGAGCCTTTTGACATTCTCTTATTTTCTCCTTTTCTATTTCACTTTCATAGTTTTGTATCTTACTGACTCTTTCTTTGCAAACGCTGCATTCCTCCATTTCCTGTTTTGTAATTAGTTCCTGTATTAATTCTTCTTCTTCTCTTTCTAATAGTGCTTTCAAATGCTTTCTTCTTTGTCATAGTTTATTATCTTCTTCTTGAAACTTTTCTCTTACTTTCTCTTCTGTTTTGTTGATTATTAGTCTAAAATAGGTGCATATACAATATACATTTATTTGCTACCATAATTCGACATAAACTAGAATAGCCTGCTGCGGTAATCTATATTTATAGTTTGAAAATTTTAACTCAAAGGGGATTTTTTTAATGGGTGAAAATAATATGGTAACCCTGCCTGAGCTATCGGTATACGAGTACACAGGCGGGGCACCAGTGAGAGGTGATAAGTGAGGATGAAAAGGCAGGTAGCTCATCGTGAGGAATTCAACGATAAATTAGTCACGATAGTTCTAGGGGGAACCACATTAAGGTCGCCCTGATAGGGTATATTGATAGCAATGGGGACTAACCTCTCCATTACTAACAATCCCTTTTCCCCACTCAAATGGGATTACGACACCATGTGTGCAAAGCCGTGGATAACAGCTAGTTAAAAATACAGTTAGTAACTTATGTTCAGTAAGATACTAAGGTTGGAATTTTCCTATTTTTTATATTTATTTCTATTTTATAATATATTTTCTATATACTGGTTACATTATATATTTTTTTAATGGGCGAAAGTGGAATTGTAAACCCCTTGCACTATCAGTGTACGCTGGGGCACCAGTTACGGATGATAGATGAGGATGAAGCAGGTCAGTTGGCATAATGTGACGAATTGACCAGAGAGAGACTTTGTACTAAAGACGTTTGCTTGGGTATCTCTGTTCCATTCGTGTTTCAAACGTAAAGCAGTTGTATTTGCATGGCTGTGTTTTGGTTTAAAGGGTAAGATATGACGTGAATTTACAGGGTACAGAGGAATAACACCTGAGTCCTCAGGAATGGCAACGCATGGGGAGTATCATGGGCGAAACAGTATACTCTGTTATGTCCATGGTACTGCTCATGTCTATAGGCGACGGTTACCACTTTCCATCGCCGTCAGCTTGTTTGCCATTTTAAGTTGTATAAATTCAAACCGAAACACCGCCATGCAAACACAACTGCTTCATGGTAGAAACACGAATGGGATAGAGGTAACCAAGCAATCGACTTTTGTACAAAGTCTCCCTCTGTCTGATGAATAAGGGGGATAGTGTTAATCCATATAAATACTATAACTTGTATAACCTCTGCAAATGAAGTGCATCATAGTCGACAGAGTCGGTTAACTTCTTTTGTTCTTCTATATTTACCATTGTCTCCAATTCATGTTTTTGCCGCTCCTGAAAATGTTTAATTTTTTTTGTTTAATTAGTTTGTTTATTTATTTATTTATTATTTTCACGGGAAGCTCACAGCTATAATAACTTAATCATTAATTATATATGACAATGATAAGCTAATTAATAGCTGTTTAATTTTTTTATTTTATTTATTCATAAACAATAATTTGTATTTGAATGTAGTAGGTACAATAAAATTCATACAGTACATGAGAAATTAATTAAATTAAGTACAATAATGAACAATGTTTTTATTACGTTTCGTTTTCGATATTTTACGATAGCGTTCTTTTAATTATATATGTTTTGGTTTTTTTTACTAAAAGAACTAATTATTCATTGCTAATACTAGCAGCAATACTGAATATTTTTAACACTTTTTAAGACACAGAAAGACTACAGTGGGTTGCCAAATTAATAGGGACAGTCACATTTTTTATAATTTTTGTTTCTCAAGTGCCCCGGATTGCGTTTTTAAGTGGTATAAGTGTGTTTGAAATATGTTTTTATGTTATCAGTAACTCTGTAACTCAAATTTAAAGTGAATTTCAAGTGCTGAGAGATTTATTTATTTTGTAAATATATTTTAATAACGAGAGAGACACACAGTCGTCCACACGTGTAAAAGTGAAACACGTAAATAATTCTTTTGAACAGTTCATTTGTGGTTTTGTGAAATAATTATTGCCTGCGAGTAAATACTATTTTACTATTATTAAAATTAAAGTATTTTGGGGCAGATTTTAGAACAATTTTTTTTTATATATTTTTGCAGCTTTGGCTATGGGTCGAGGGGTAGATTTGTCTCCGAGAAAAAAATCTGAGATTAAAACCCTTCTCCTAACCACAAGTCATTCTCAGAGAAAGATTGTATCTAAGTCTGCTGTCAATAAAATAAAGGTCAATTTAGACCAGAATCGGCCACTTTCGTCCAAAAGAAAAGGCAAATGTGGCAGAAAACGTATCACAACAGCACGTTCTGATAGGAAAATTCGGGATATCTGTTTGCAAAACAGAAAGAAAAGTGTTGGATTCTTAACTCAGATGAATATGGAATCTGTTTCTAAAAGAACTGTACAGCGAAGGTTGGCAGAGGAAGGCCTGACAGGTCATCGTCAGTTAAGAAACCACGATTCGATGTTTTTGGGCTCGTGAGCACCGCCTGAAGACTGTTGAAGACTGGAATAAGGTCAGTTCTAATGTCAATTTTGTTTGTGTTATATAAAATCATATTTATAAAAATTATGAATAAATTTCTATTTTTTTAGGTATGTTTCTTAGACGAGTCAACATTTGAAATTCTAGCCGACAGAAGTAACTTTGTCAGGCGGCGTCCAGGCGAGAAATTTCACCCTGATTGCATAGTGGAACGCATTAAACACCCTGTAAAAATAATGGTATGGTCTGTCATAAGCGCAAAAGGGGTTGGGCGCCTCTATATAGTCCAGGAAACCATGAGACAGGACCAATACAAGCAAGTATTAGAAACACGCCTGTTGCCACAACTCCAGGAATGGTTCCTGAATGGGGAGAAATTTTGTTTATGCACGATTTCCATGCCATTATGTCAAATTGGAAACAACATTCCAGTTTTACCTTTGCAATTCTCCTGATATGAATCCCATAGAAAACTTGTGGCAAATTACCAAAGCGGAAATTGCCAAGGAAATGATAACTACCAAAGAAAAACTGATTGAAAAGTTAATAAATGTTTGGCATCACAATCCCAAAATAAAAGAATGTGCTAAACAGGGTATCGAAAGTATGCCGAGGCGGATTCAAGCACTGATAGAAGCAAAGGGAAATGTGACAAAATATTGATAATTTCCCATCATAGATCTTTATCATACTTGTTTATATTTTCAAGTTGTTTAAATATTAAATTATTGTACTCTTAATTCATTAAAGATATGTATCTAATATTATTAAATATAATCATAGCCTAAAGTGACGTTTTGAATTAATTATGGACCAATATTTTACAAAAAACCAATATTTCGTGACTGTCCCTATTAATTTGGCAACCCACTGTAAGTATTTTTTAAATACATTTCAATTTGGAGCCTTTGTTTCGTAACAACTGACGTACCCGCATTTTGTAGCTACCACATATAGACTTTAACGAAATTTAAATTATTTACAGTCTAGATAATTAATGAATGTGCAAACACAGGTAACTTATATTGGTTTCTTTATAGAATTTGGATAAGTAACATTTTTTTATACCAAATGTACTTGACAACCTATACTAAAGATGTAATTGGCACTTTTGCTCTTAAGTTTTATTTTCTCTTTATTGTAATAAATTATGTATGTATTTGATTTATATGACTAATGAAAAGAAATATAGTGTAGAATGAATAAATTTTTGACATTGTTAATAATTTGCACGCCGACATAAAGGTAGAATGTATATGGGAAATATAAACCTCTTTCATCGAAAACTACCTACATTCTAGCAAAATAAATTCATTTAATTTCATTTCCACTGAGGCGGTAAACAAGCATACGGCCCACCTGATGGTGAGCGGTTAAATAAAATATTTTATATAAAGTCCTTACTTTCTACTACTATCATAAATGCAAAAGTTTGTGAGGATGGATGGATATTTGTTACTCTTTCTCGCAAATAATACTGAATGGATTGAATGAATTTTGATATACAAATAAGTTATGGCGTAACATATAAAATATACACTGAGTCATAAGAACAAAGCCGTGGCTTTCACCGTTCATGGTATATCCCGTGGGATACACATATTCCCTTTATAAGTATAAATGTGTATGTGAGTTTGTTTGTTAGTTTTAACACGTGAACCAATTGCCATGAAATTTGATTTACATAAATCGACATTTTTCGGTCACGCAGATGTTGTTGCGGATAAAAAATAGTTCATATTTAACTCTTAAACTAACTTTAACTCTACAGTTTGCTGTTGAATTAACAAACCAACATGAGTCCTATTCATTTACAGTCCTTTACAATGTACCTTAGTATGAAAACAATACAATTAAGAATGCAAACTGGGTACAAAAGACACCAACCAACTTCACATACATAGCGATACTAATATTAACACTCACCCGCCAAAACCGGACCGGATGTCCAAAATAAACCGGCACTTGTTTAGCCTTTAGCTTTGTTAAACCCATGTTAAATTATTAATAAACACTAGTGAACTATTTTCATCGGATATAAATAACGAATATATTTATAAACGTAAGAATTTTTGATTGCAACTCTTAAATTCACGTTAGAACTACTTGGATAGTTAATGAGATAGTTATGACAACTCTATCAGAAGTTAATTAAAAATCGACTTTATATTAGATAGCATAGAAATATTGTTTCTATATATAACGTGTACTTTATTAATGCTGTGTCAGCTTTTGAATACTCGTAAAATATATGAAATACATGTATTGATTAAACTTGTTGCTTGGGTAACGTTTGTCTAAACGTGGCCCCAGAGGCGTGCCTTGGAGTACTCCCGAAGAATTTACAAATTTTACCTCGAGTTCATTAAAGCCGTTTGCGCTGTGCATGTAACGGGATTATATGCGGTTAATGTAATTTGTCAATGTCAGATTGAAATTCGGGCCGATAAGGAACGAGACGATATTATTATAAGGCAAAATGTGTTACGTGGAGTTTGATTTTAAACAGATTTTCGTTCTATTATGAATACTATATGGGTTGTATTTATGAGAGAGAGGGAGGGAGAGAGAGTAGCAATTTTGTTTAATATTATTTATTACATTTACAGGTTTAGGGAAAAATATAGTAAGAGAATCTAATAAATTACTTTTTTCCAAAACTTTATACATTTATAATTAAAATAACAGAACTGTTAATTTTAGATAAACTGACAAAAGATTCACTTTCTTTAAAGATTAAAAAAAAATCCTGTTGACTGCCGACTGCTGTTATATTTCCAAATTCTGTGAATCTCTCTAAAAGTTAAAGACAGTCTCGTAGGAACATTTTGCTTTAGAAGCAACGGTTCAGGTGCGTTAGCAACTTGTTCTATGATTAATGTTTCAATTTTTTTTCTGCGCTTTTTTCCGCGTAGGTATTGCATTATGTATTTTATTGAAACTTATAAATTTATAGGTATTGGGGGAAAAATTGTGTGAAAATATTCTAAATTTATTCATGTATAGAAAATGCGAAAAAAAGCTTTTTTAAATCACTAAGGTGGGAAAAAGCGTCATGATGGTAAGCGGTTATCGTAGTCTATAATCGCCTGCAATACGCTACGCGCTACCTTTTTCTGAACCCCATGCTGTAATATGTTGGAAAAACCTCGACAGGGAACTCAGTCCATGACTTGAGCGTTTGTAAGAAAAAACAACTTTGAAAAAGCGCAGTGCGCAGCCATCCAGCCTCTAAGTTATATTATATATAAAGTACAAAAAAAAAAATGCATTTTTAATGACCATTAAGAAATATTAAACTTTGTTTTAAATCGACTTCAAAAAGAAGAAGTTTCTCAAATTAGTTGTATTTTTTTTATATTTGTTACTCATAACTCCGTTAGTTTTAAATCGATTTGGATTTTTTTATCTGAGAGAGTATATTTACAGATTGATCCCATAGAAATTCTATCAAAATCATTTAAGTAGTTTAGGTTATAATTAAAAAATAAATTTTAATAACAAAATTTATAATTAAATAGAAGAAAAATTAAGATTTTGTTCCACAAAAAAAGAATATACAACGTTTATTATTAAAAATTTATAGATACCTATCTACCCGTGATTTAGTTTGCGTGACTCAGACAAAAAGTAACTTATGATTCCTCAATTCCAAATACTGTATGTATTGAAAACTTTATGATGATTTGAGGAGCCGTTGGCGTCAAGAGGTACAGACGGATTCACTTTCACATTTGTTATATCGGTAAGGATGCACACTATGTCAGATTCCGTTAGAGCCCTTTTTCGTAGACACTCCCTGATCCAGTCCATCGTATCGCATTATCACACGGTCACCCACCCTTATTACTTTGAGTGCATAGACAGATTTATGGGCCAGTATTAGGGGTTAATTTACTTAATAGTGAGGGAGGTGACCGAAATGATCCAGAGACTATAAACGCATGGTTATAACCCTGAATAGTTTTGGTTTGCTTGTGTTAATGGCCCTGTTAGCAGGGTTGGGGGAATAGATTTTCTCTTTTTCTTTATCACAGAGGTGGCAAAACAAGCTAGTCTGATGGTAGATGGTCACTAACTACGCTCATGTGTTTGAATGTGTTCCTTTTGGAGGGACCACATAATATAGTATCTAGGGAAAACCTCTGTAGACTGTTCATTTCATAGACTAAGCGTTCTTAGGAGGGAACTCCTATAAAACCGTATTCTAAGCGAA